TGGAAGTGAAAGCCATGCTCCTGGGATGATCCCCTTCCAGGCCACCACCCAGCAGAGCAAGCCTCCATGCCAAGAACTTTGATTTTCAGTTTCCTGCTGAAATGAGTCAAGCTCTTTTGACCAATTCAGTAGGAAAGAGTGAATCACTCTGGGCACGTGCACAGAGCTGGCACAGCACGTGTGTATGTGTGCATGTGTATATGACGCATACACGCGGGCATGCATGTGGTGTGTGTGCAGCATGCGAAGCCCGTGACCTAAGTGATTATCATAATGCATAACTCACCCACGCATAGGAATTCCCTGGCCCCAGCTTGCTCAGGACTAAGACTCTCCCCTTAGGAGACCATGTCAGGAAAGAGGTAGCAGCAGCTGCTCCCACCCAAACCTAGGAATCCCCTCTCACTTCTTTCTGCTCCTCAATGTTCCATCCTTGGTACCTCCTATGGCACCCAGCAATTCTCTTCACAACATCAGTCTACTTTTGTCTGTGGCCACTTGTACCCCCTACCCTAGCCAAGACCACCTTATTCCTGGATTCCGTCCCCCCAGTACTCTTAGCTCTTGTTCCCACCCCCTCCCAAGTTTTTACCCACAAAGTAGCAACAGTGTTGAAAGCACAGAATGAGCTAGGCTCTTTGAATGAGCTCATGTCTGTCTCCTGTTTGACCAGGCAGCGCACTTCAGACAGACTCTGACTCCTCCAGGCTACGAGCTCTACACCCACATCTGCTGGCCCACTGAGGCCCAGCCACGCTGACCTGCGGGTGCCATGACTACAGCAAGCTCATTTCTGCTGTGGGCCCCTGCATAGCTGCATGGCTGTGCACCCCTGTGTGGCCCCTCTGCCTGGACTACTCAGCCCGCTGTCTTAGCATGCTGCCTCTTGTCACTCAGGCCTTGAGGTAAAAGGCCTCCTCTCAGTGAGGCCTCCGCTAGGCACCCAGGCCAGTGCCACTCCCACTCTCCGTCACACCCTGATGCTGTAGTCTGCATCACCCGACTGCTAGCTCACAGGTGCTGGGTTGTTACCTCATCATCCACCCACTACCTACTGATTGCTTCCTTTGCCAGCCAGACGAGACATGGGTCATTCTCCCTAAGCGATGCCTGCCTCCTCCTGTGACTTGGAAGCCCATGAGCATGGCCTCAGCTATAGACTCCAGGCCTTGCATGGAAGAGGCAATTGATAACATACATCATTTGCAGAATGAATAAAGACCAATAAGGTAAAGTACATTCAGGAAATCAGAACTTGCCAATACAACTTCTTGATCTGCTTTCATGGCTTTGAGACAGCCAATATTCCAAAGTTTGCCCCAGTGCTAGGATAAATCACTTGCTGGCTGGATTTTTCTCAGCCAATCATGACTCGCTGTTTGTATTTAGCTAGGATTTATTAAGGCCCTACTGTATACAGTCCATCTCTGTCCTGTCCAGCCAACCCAGTGGATGGCATGCTGAGGCGAGCCATGAATAGGCCAACTGTCTGCCCTGTCCTGGCCAATAACCAGTAACCTTCACTAGAGTTCATCCATGGTGCAGTTAAGTGGCAGTGACTCCCACATTTGTCATCCTCTTCTTTCCAGGCTTCCTAAATATTGAAGGGTTCAGTGCAGTTCCCATGGATAGGACCCAGGCAGCCAGCCAAGGTCTGTTCCAGTCTCAGCTTTCTGGCCTTATTTCCCAAATGGGTACCTGTCTATTTGTCCCCACTTATGCCCCACCTGCTACTGTCACAGACGGGAACCATTACAAGCCAAAAGGGTTCTGGTGCTGGCAGTTACCAGCTTGGAATCTTGGACCGAGAGGTTATTCTATCTCCTGGAACTCCCATTTCCTCCTTTGCAAACACAGACTAGGATGGCACTGGCCTTTTGAGGCTGGTATGGCTGACTCCTTGAGTACCTCCTACTCCTCCCTGCTCTATGAGCCCATAAAGTCTCAAGGGACAAGGTGGAGAAGGGGAGAAGAAACAGCTCTTTGGGGGCAATCATTCTATGGCTAATCTCAGTACTAGAAATTAGAAAGTTGCAATTCAAAACAAACAATATACAGTTCAAGCAATAAATCTATGCTGGGTGGGTACAAAGGCTACAAATAAAAATTAGACACTATGAAGGAAGATAGTCAAAAGGGGTGGCAGGTTGTAAACAGTCCACAAAACAGATGAGGGTCCACCTGCCAGTGTGCCTGAGCCCAGCTGATCCCTTGCATTGGGGCCAGGAGGTCTGGATGAGGAGGAAGAGGAATTTGGTCCCCTCATTTCGCAAATGCGTGGTGGGAAGTGCTGCCCTGGGACCAATCACACAGGTGGATGACGGGGGCATCTGAACTAAAACAAGATTGAGTGCTGGGGGCACCAAGAACCAACCTCTCACACACACTAATGACATGGCACATTCCTTCCTCGCTGCTATTCTTATTTCCTAGAATGCTGCATCTTTCCACTTTCCATTCTGGTGAAGGGCCCTTGTAACCAGGGCAACAACACAGCTCCAACCCTTATAAGACAATGCAGATGTTTTCAGAGAAGAAAGAACTGGGCTGAGTTGTAGTAGCACATGCCTGCAGTCCCAGTGCTGCTGAGGCTTAGGCAGGAGGATCTCCATGAGTCTGAGGCCAGCCTGGGCTATACAGTGTGAGCTCAAGGTAACTCTGAAATACATAGTGAGCCCTTGTCTCAAAAAATAAATAAAAACCCCAAAAAACTAGGATGTGCTGTTGCCCTAAACCCTCTGATCTTTGATGACATGTAACCTCAGCTCCTTGGCATCTGTCTGCCTCCCCCAGCTAAATGCCCCTAAGGTGGCAGAGATGGCGGCCAATGCTAGTTGGCACAGATAGCAGAGAATGGGCAGCAACAGAAGCCATGGCTTGGACTAAGACACAAGGAGAGGTCTGGCTGCACTTCTCGGGCTCCCCGAAGTGCTCCTTGAACTTGCTCCTCTGCTTTTGTTTTGAGTGACAGGTGGTAGGTTGGGATTGCTCATCTTGCTCATATGGTATGGGGTTAAGGGCAAGAACTCTGCAGCCACGCTGCCTGGGTAGATCCTAGCTATGCCCCTTAAATGTCCTCCCTGTGCTCTTTCCTCAGCTGTGAGTAACAATAACAGGAGGATTTGCCTCTATGAGGAGCTGCACGAACTGAATGAGCTAATAATATACATAAAGCATTTAGGGCAGAATGCCATGTGCTTTTATTCTTGCAAATCCAAAAGGGGGAATGACTGACCTAAATGGCCTGGAGGGAGCGGCAGAAGGGCCCATGACTTCCAACAGATCCTGGGTGAGTATTCCACACAGCTCCCTGAAGCGCTGTGGGAGGTTTGTTTTCACTGCAGTCAAGTTCCATCAACATCAGTGAAGACTCAGCCATGCTGAGCACTGCATGTCAAGCTGAAGTCACAGCGCTCTTGCTGTGAGCTGGTGCTGTCCCACAGTCCCAGGAACAGAAGCACCCTTTGGAAAACACCGTCCACAGCTCCAGCCACGGGCCGTGCCCGTCTCTCCATGCAGGGCCTTAGCTCGCCCTAGCTGCTTGTGCTGATTCACTCCCTCCACCCTGGCCCTCATGGACTGTGTAGCTGCTGGGGTCCCTAGGAGAAACAGCACTGCTAATAGCAAGCTCCATAAAAATGAGAAGATTCCAGATTTGGTCCTCCAGCTCCTCATACAGCTCCCAGTGGTCCAAGACACAACAGCAGCAACTAAATAATGGAAAATTCATTTGAAAAGGAATCTTTAAGCAACTTTTGAAAACACCTGCACCTTTCAGATGAACATGGAATCACGGGGCTGGCAGCACCTATAGAAACCAGAGGCTTCCAAATTTGCTTTCATCGTTCAGTTACAATTTACCCAGCACCCAATACATAAGATGGATACAAACAGGGTTTCTCTGGTGGAAACAGCTTGTGGCCTGCCTGCACGGCACCATTCTTCCTCTCCCTCAGCCCCTGATGGCTCCTAGAATCTCCAGGGCTCCACAAAGCACTGACAAAAAAACTGCGAATCTAAGATGGCTTCCCCAGTAGAGATGGAGAAATGAGTTCCCCAGAAGTCCCACTCTGAATAGTGCCTGTATGCAAACCTAGTTTTCAGAATCTAGGCTAATGCCTCTTCCCCTACTCTGCTAGGGCTGGATCTACTGAAAGTTGCAATGTAAAGGAACAAGGCTTGTTTCTGATCACCTACACCATAATCCTTAAGTATTTTAAAGGATCCTAAACCAGCCAAGCAGGAAACAGCCCAGCTCAACAGACTGGCAGATGGAAGGTCGGAAATGAGTCGTAGAGCACATCTGACGATTCCATACAATTTCCATCAGCTCTCTGGGACATACACAGGTCTTGAAAGGCCTGGGCTGTGTGGCTGTGAAAGACCTGGCAGGCCAGGCCAGGCCAGGAGGTGAATGCTAATGAGCTATGGAAACAGCAGTTACTTCCCCCTGTCAGGCACTGTGCCAAGCTAAGGAGAATAAAGAGGTCTGAGATATTTTTAAAGTATTTTTACAGCAGAAAAACTTTCCTTCAGACTCAATTATATAACTATCAGACTCCACCTCTGAGCTGAAATTATCCATGGCTTCAGGAAAAAAATAAAGAAAAAAATTGCATTTTCCTACGTGAGTGTCACAGATTTCACCAGAGAAACTCAGAGCTATATGGCCAGTGACCTACGGCAGCTGCCAACCATCAGCCCAGAGATCTTCCCAGGGGCAGTCTGGGAGCTGCTAAAAACGAGCACCCGCCAAGCAAGGGCAGGAGTCATTTGCTGACCTGGCCATCACAGAGGATGTTGTGGGGTTCAGGAAGATCCCCAGCCCTATCAGTGCCCGCTCTGTGCCCTTGAACTAAAATGGAGATACCCAGGGAACCTTTCCTTATATCGAGTAACTTAATTCTTAGAGTATAGACAGTCGGAGAAAGCCTAGAGCTTAAGCAAAGCAGACCCTCAGCAATGAAATCAAAGGGACAGACTTCAAGAGATTAACTTACAGCCCAGGTCTTTGTCAGTCTGAAGATGGGAGCACTTTGTAATGCTGACACCACAGACATGAGAGAATGAAGGTTGTTGAGTTCTAGAAGTTTCTGGAAAAGAAAAGATGGAATACATTATTCTGCTGCTATAAACAACAGAACAAAAACACACTCAAGTGTTACCAAATGTTGTCATATTTATAAAATTCAATTACACTTAAAATATCTCATGAAGAAAATATAGTTCTAGGCGGTTCATAGGAACCATATGCTCTTTTTCTCTCAAACTGTCAAAAGGTGAACCTGCATCTAAAAGACTTGCCTAATTTCATAAACTGACTCATCTGGTTGCTGGACAGAAATGTGGCTGGGCATAAGATCTGATAATCCCCCCTCTTTTTTTTTTTTTTTTTTAAGATGAATCTGAACCTTGTCTCAACAAGCTTCTGTAAGCTAAGACCCTGGCTGTGACAACAGCACCAGGACGTTCTACTGTGAGTACCCCAACACCCTGCCACGGAGGAGGCAGGGAAGATGTTATCAATCTGTGTAATCTCTCTCAGCTGGCAAGGCAAAGCTCCAGCTTCCCATTGGACCATGGTCCTTTGAACCAGACCCCAAATTAATAGGAACATTTGGAGACAATTCAGTCTCAGACAAGCTCCTTACCAGGATGGCAACAGAATGAGACACAGAAGAAAGTAAGTGCAGAAAAATGTAACTGTTCTGTTCTTGGTTTGATGCTGAGGGAAACTTGCTAACAAGACCGGGTCTCATTTCTCCTTCTTGGGAGGCAGCGAAGCCTGGGTTATCCAGCAGGCTCAATGGAAGCCAAAGCCCTGGGCCAACCCCAGCACTCACTGCTCATACTTCCTTCAGCAGGTTACCTGGCCCCATTTGAGCCTTGGCATCCGCACAGTAAAAACGTGCGAAGTCACCACGGCAGCAACACTTTATGAGACAGCACAGCCTAGACCAGCACCTAGGCCAAGCTGAGTGCTCAGTGGGAGACCAGCCTCAGTCTTCTCAGGCTGGAAAATGGGTCTTCCCCTCCACACCCCTTGCCTCAGATACATCCTTACTTAGATGTCACTTCCTCTAGTACATTTTTCATGACAATGTTTTAAATCCACAAAGGCCAGGCACTCATCTGGGTTTCCAGTCTGTGTGCATCCTTTGCACTTGGGATTGTGCTAGCTTTTTACTTGTCCCTTTCTCACTCTGGACCCTGTGTCCTAAGAGTAGGGACAAAGTTTCATCTACCACCATGTCCTCAGTACCTACTACTGCCCCCAGCACACAGTAGTTAAGACGAATAAACAGCTGAAAAGCCAGTAATGCTGGGTCCACCCAGCTCTGATCCTGCTCAGAAACTTCACCCTGACCACACAAGTTAATGCTTCATTTCATACATCTTGTAACAATCTCTAATTGTTTCCTGTGTATAAGAATAGATTCTCTGAGTAAGCTGAATTTTGTTCTAGTATCTGAGTTGCTGTGCCTGTCACAGAATTTCTTTTCAGAGCCAAAAGGCCTCAGGAAGATTATCTAACCCACACTTTCCATGTACGTATGTATGCATATACATAAGAAGGACTGAACCCGGGCCTTTATACTGAGCTACATTCCCACCCGTTTTGATTTTCTTCTAGCTCATTAAGTTTCCCAGGCTGGGCTTGAACTCACGAGACCCCTGCATCAGCCTCCCAAGAGTGCTAGGATTACAGGTGTGTACCACAATGCCAGCTCCCTTCCATTTTATAGATAGGAAAACCAAGGCCAGAGAAGAGAAGCAGTTCTTGCTGAGATACTCCCAGAATACAGGGCCTGCATGACATTTTATAATAGAAATGGGCAGGGGTGAAGGGAGGGCCTTTTGGACTCCTGGGGGGGTGTATAAACTCACTTCCAAAGTACAAGTCCCAGGAGCACTGGAACCACATCCTATCTTCTCTTCTGGCCCAGAACAGGACTGACCCACAGCAGTAAGTGTCATTAAGCCCAACACCAATTCCAAGTATTTCATGAGAACACAAGGGACACCATCAGAACCACTGCTAGACATGGATGCACTTAACCTGCTAGGAGGGCAGCAGAGCTGCTCCCCAGAAGGCAGAGGCATGGCTTTAACTTCCACCCTGTACTGGCAGCTGTGGGCCTGAGCATGGAGGCTTCTCTCTAAACCCCTCTTCCCCCACCCCCCACTGGGCCAAAACTCTGTGGCATCAAATGCAGCCCTATCAGTAAAGTAGCTGTTCCACTGCAGGGTTCTGAAAGGCCTCAGCCAGGGCTGCTTTCCAAGACTCTGGGTTAGAAAATAATACATGACCACACAAAGCAAGCAAGGAACCAGGCAGGGCAACACCGCTGCAGAGAGCCTGGCAGGCCCAGGCGGTGGGAGCAGGGCATGGGGAGGAGCTGCCTCGCTCATGTGGTCCCGTGAGCTCAGAGCTGGCACAGCCCGAGCTGGCAGAGGTAAGGGCAGATGAAGGAAAAGATGGGCCCAACAAGCAGCAAGGACAGACTCTAAGGCCCGGGGGCAGGGCGGAGGGTACAGGGTCATGTGGCCTTTGCTCAGGATGGGGCAGGGAGGACACTGCTGACGGGGACACAGATGCACAGGCTGTGCTGAGATCACAAGCACTGAGCTCTGGAGGGGCACGCCACGTGTGCTGGGAGTGTACACACAGGGAAGAGACTATGGGCAGCCAGGCCATAGCCTCCACCCACCTGAATCCGGAACAGCAGAGCCAGACCAAAGTACCTCCCGAAGTACTAAAGAAACATATCTTTTGAGACAAAAAAAGAAAAGAAATGGAGGAAAGCAAGGAAAAATAATAAAACAGCTTACCTTGGCTATTTTCACAAAATGGCTCAGGATTTCTGCCCTTATTTTTAAAGTCTGTGCTGTTAGAATTTCTCGTACAACCCAAAAACTGACCTGTAGAGTTAAATACACACATGTACACATACACGCACATACCAGTGGAGCTGTTAAATGCTGGCCACCCCCACCCCCCTGCTCAGGGACTTCCAAGGGTCTAGCACACTGTGGGAGCACAGCCTGGTGTGAGCTGAGGTCAAGTGGTCAAGAGTTCCCTGCGGCACCCAACCTGGATGGGGCTCCTGGGTCTAGCATCTGCCTTCAGAACACACAGTGGTGCTGGGCAGGAGCACTTGCATGGTCATGCAGGAAGCAGGGAGCCTCTGTAACACATAGGTGTCTCTCAAAGTGCTGCAGGACACGAAGATGAACCATCCTGGCCTCCTGCTCAGAAGGACCACACAGGGGAGGCAGCATGGATGACGGGAGGATGGCCAGGCAGATGGACGGGCTGCCAAAGGGATGTGCAGACTGAAGGAGCACCCGTGAGGCCCACATCCCCTCAGGGCCACAGGCGAAGAGGGATTACCATGGGTGCACAATTGCAGTACATTTTGTGTTCTAAGAGAAGTTTATTTTTATCCAACCATACATGAAACAAAAAGCACCTTTCAAAGTTCCACACAGCAATGCAGTTTGGGGTGGTTTCTGGATACAGCATGTACCAAGAGGGAATGTCGGTAGCTCTGGTTCAGAAGCTTATTCATGCCTGACCTCTCCCGTACATCAACAGCCCCAAGCCCCTGGGTCTGTTGCTGGGAAGAAGAAAGTCATCTGTCGATGTAGGGCTGACTCATGAAACCTCAAGGAAACGCAGAAAAGGCTCAGCCAAGAAAGGCTGGCAGATAGTTACCTTTTCCTGCTACTGCCTCACTACCATCACAACAGCTTTATGTGAAAAGCAAGTGCCTCAGAGTTGTGATAGCGCTGCAAAAAAGGCGAGGGCTGGCCAAGCACGGGGGGCGGGGGGCGGTGAGGAAGGAAGAGGGAGGGCAGGTTAAAAGAGGAAAAATCAACAAAAGCAGTGAAGGACAGCCCAGAGTTAACAGTGCATGCTTATGTCGAAATGAAATACATTCTTGTCACTGAAATAGTCACTTTTCAAAGAGGAAACAAGGAAAAAGAAACCAAGACTCGACAATTTGCCTCTAATACTGAGCAAGAGTATTATAGAAATGTCTTTTGAGTGGGTGCCTCCAGGACATGCCTGGTTTTCCATAGAATCATTTCTTCCAAGGAACTGCCAAAACTAAGTTTAGATTCAATGTTTACTAGCCAGTTATGGAGAACGTTTTCCTGGATACCATAAACCTTATACTATAGTATGTGTGCTTTTTTTATGCTACATAATCTTAAGTATGACACTTTCTATCTATAATTTATTATATTCCTGTGTAAAAAAAACTCTTATATTTTTTGGGCATAACTATGGAAGGTGATGGAGCTGAGTTCAGATCTGAAGCCCACAGCATGCAGAGGTGGCTCAGCGTCCACAATTCAAATCAAGAGAGTTGCAAGTGGCCACCCTGGGCGCAGGTTCCAGATCTTGCCTAAGACTGAGGTGACCAATGGAGGAGGCAGAGCCCTCCGGAAATCTCTCCTGGAAGCAGCTGTGATCAAGCAAAGTTCAAAGCAAGTGAACTGGAGGATGAGGGCAGCAACAGAAGAAGGCAGGTCCTGAGAGATGGCAAGACCTGACATAGAACAGGGCTATGCTGACTGTATACACCAAACGCCAATGGCTGAACCTGCCAGGACTGCAGGAGGAACATCAAGTTGGTGGTGAGGGCAGATGAAGCTGGAGGAGAGGAAGAGCAGACGAGGGACCCAGGGCAGGGTGAGAACAAGAGGCTAAGATGCTACTTTAGGAGGGAAGCACCAGGGGCTTCTAAGGGGAGCGCAGGCGAGTCCTCCTGTCGGGCAGGGTCACCCACAGATGTAACAGGCTAGGGCAGATCTGCAAGGCTAGGTGGGCCACGGGAAGGAGATGCAGGAGAGGGCCAGTGAGACAGACAGGACAAGGCAGAAGCAGCAGTTCTACACATTTTTATTCTCTCTCCTAACCACAATACTTAACAGAAGTTTAACATGGAAAACAAGAGAAACAGAAATAAGAACAAAAGACAAAAATCACTTGTAATCTTGGTCTCATGTATAAACAACTGTGGTAAACAGCATGGTATGTGATCTTTGAGCCCCCCCCATAATACAGCATATGGTTGTCTTTTAAATTAAATTGGTATGTATTAATCATATATCTCAAATAGTTTTGTAAGTAAATATTCTTTTACGAGTTTTGTGCTTCCAGGGATTTTGTCACAGACATGCATCATCACTGCTGGAAGTAGCCCCTACTGCGGGACAGGACGTTTCTTACTGTTCTACTGAATTAACAAGGCTGTGGTGAACACCGTGGCACAGATACCTCTGCACATTCATTACTCATGCTTAATTCCAGAAGATGGAGTGAACAAAAGTGAAGTATGTATACTTCAAAAGTACACAGAAAGAACTTGCCTTCCAAAGGATTTGTTTATTTATCCTTCAATAGGTTTAAGAGAGCCACATTCTTAGCCACAGGCCAGCACCAGTCACTAAAGTTCTTTTCTGATTTATCAATGGGTAGAACAGTATCTCGCTGCTTCTACTTTTCATCTCTCTCATCACAATCCAGTTAATTTTTCATTTTGTTCTTTTTTTCTCAGTTAACATTTCCTGCTCCAAATACTTATAGACTATTTGTCACTGGCATTACTCGCCTTGCCGTTGCCTGCTCAGGGCCCCACCCGTCTTTCTACTGGGACATCTCTCTTCTTTGTATTGTTTGATAAAGGCTTACTGCATATTAAAGGATATATATTTTGTGAGCCATAACTTGTATGAAGAGTGCAGAGGAATGGGGATCTTGGAAACTGCTTGGGGGAGTGGAAATTAATACTAACATTTTGAAGAACAACTTGAATATATGTTTCAAGATACTTAACCTATATTCTCTATAAAATATTTACCCTATAAAAGCTGAGAATTATGCAAACACATATGTATAAGGACTCACAGAAACTGCTTATGAAAATAAAAAATGGGAAAAATGCCCATCAATAGGAAATCTGTTCCACATAATACTGCCTCACACTCTAGAAGGAAGCCACCGTGCTCAGCCCACCCCTCTTATGGGTAGTGTTTTGCTCTACCTTCTTAAGTATCTATATAAATTACTTGAAAGTCTTCTGCCTAGACTGGATTACAATTTAGGCCTATGTGATTTTGTTGTCACATAGTTCCCACTCTGGCCAGTCGCTGCAAGCTCTTTCACCCCTCCAACGTATACTGGCCCTGCATCCCTCCAGCATACCCAGCATTACAGGCCTGTCAGGGTGAGCACTTCCTTTCTGGCACTGCAGTATGCTACATGCTCATCTCGTACACTTCTTGAAAATAAAAAATGGGAAAAATGCCATTTCTAGTTCCCAGCCCTAGAACCCAAAATGTGCACCTAGTAGGTGCCAAGCATGCTTGCTGCTCCGGGAGTATCAGTGCTTCTTGATCCTCTCAGCTAGCAAACGGGGGAGCAGGGTGGCACTCCCTATGTGTCTATCACTATTTTTATCTGTGACCATTACACTAAATAGAACCTCATGCTGATACCTCCAGCTCCAACTCACTCTCACAGGGATCATTCCAACCTTGCTTGCTCATAATTTTCCACTTCACCAGAGCTGAGCACTCGAGAATATGGACGGCACACGGTGAAAGCGCCACTGTAAGCATGTCAGACTTGCGAGTCCTCCCTCCTGGGAAACCTCTTGATCACAGGAACACAGTGCTTGTGGATAGCCCCTTCTCTGTTTCAGCCTTACACGCTCTACTTTCTTTCAGAATTCTTTAGGTCAGCAAGTTTTCCCCCACCCTCCTCAGAGAAGTTGTTTCATACACTTACAATTGTATAACTGTATGTACAATATGTTTAGCTTTCTTTTGAGAGGACCTTTTGGTCTTTTAAGATGAACTTTTTTGTGTGTACGGTGTTGGGGATCAAAACCAGGCCTGTGCATGCAAGGCAAGAGCTCCACCACCCAGCCACGTGCCCATCCCCAGGATGAGTTTTTCTGAGATTGCATATGCTAAGGTTTCCTCTTGCACTGTGAAGTTCTGTGGGTGTGCATGAATACATCATGCCTCTATACACCAGTGCAGTATCTTTGAAAATAGTTTCAAGGTCTTAAAAAGATCGCCTATCATCACCTATTCAACCTTTTCCCCTTCCAGAACTCTTGAAAACCACTGACTTATTAACCCTACTGTTTTACCTTTGCCAGAATGTCACAGTAAAGGGAAAAGAATCTTCCACAGGTCACCTTTCCCACCAGCCTTTTTCACTTACTATATGCATTTAAGATTCACGTACACAACTTGCTAACTCATTTTTTAGACAAATACTATTACATTGCACGAATTTACTATAATTGGTTTATTCATTAATCTACTGAAAGACATCTCAGTTTCTTATAGTTTTGGTAACTATGAGTAAAACTGCCATAAACATTTCTGTGTTAGCATGTGCATAGGAATGTTCAAATCTGGGTAAATACTGGAGCATGTCTGATCCATTCTGTGCTCCCATAACCACCACAGAATGAGAATTTGTGTTGCTCCAAATCATTGCCAGCAATTTGTATTGCTGGTTCTTCTGTCTTAGACATTCTAATAGTGTGTGCTGTTCTGCATTTTGCTAGTGATAAATGAGCATCTTTCATATGGTAACGTCCCATCTGTGTATCTTCTCTGATGAAGAATCTGATAAGATCTTTGGACAATTTTTTATTGGACTGTTTTCTCAATGAATTTTACTAATATATTTTGAATATAAGTCCTGTATCAGATACATGCTTTGCAAATATTTTCTCTCAATCTGTGGTTTGACTTTTAATTCTCTTAATTATGTCTTTTATATAATGGGGGAAATGTTAATATCATCCTAATATTAGTTTTTTCTTTCATGGATTGTGCTTTTAGTATTGTATGTAATAATTCATCAACAGACTCAAGGCCACATAGAT